GCCATCCTGGAGTTTAATCAGGGCTTAAAGATGCCAGGCAGCACGTGAGTACAGCGTGGTTATCTCTGTAATGAGTGACTATGCGAGTGTCACATGTGCTCCACACATAAACCCAGTGCCCTGGAAATGGTTAAACTTTAACTGGCATTACCCTAATAAATTTCACTCGTGTACAAAAGAAAACATCTATCTTATCTCCACAAAACAAAACACACGATTTCAGGCCGTATAATCCCTGTGAACTGTGTTCTTGGAAATACTGCAGGTAAACTGTATAAGTGGTAAAGGCATGTCTGTCCGTATGTCATTTGTCTTAATTATAGAAGTTGAGCAGCCCAGGTGATCAAACAGTTGTTTGATCATTCATGTGTTTACTGAGCATGTGCGTTCCCGATGTGTTTTAAGCACAGCAGTGGTGTGAAAGGTCTGCTTTTCTTCTTCTTCTGCAAAAAAAGAGTCAGTATTCAGAGTAAAATACACATATTTTCTGTAGTAAACACATCATTTATTGCTCTTGTGGTGGCCAAAGAATTGCACATTACTGCACAGTCATACACAAATACCTGTATTTCCTATATACAGCATATAAACTAGTCTCCTTATATGGTGCACAGACCTTGCCAGGGATTACTTCAGAGAGGGTTTCCCCAAATCAATTTTCTTTATAAGGGAGCACCCTAATATGGCCTCCGCCAAGCTACACAGTCACTGTCTCCCTAATACAGTGGGTGCAGGAACCTCTGGGGTCAACTCAGGGGGGCAGTGACCTTTTCTCTTCCTTTAAATTACTGCAGTTGGATAGATATAAGAGCTAAAGATATCCTATATACCCTAAAAGTGAGCCCCTGGTTGTTTAAACAAAGACAACAACACTTTTGCTGAACCAAAGCAATCATGTGCCAACATGCCATATAGTTAAATAACGTCATATAGTGATTGGACAGGAAAAGTATTGTTCAATGTATCGAAATAGTTAGCTTAAGTTGGCTAAAATCAGCTACCATCACAAAAGGGGACACACAAGAGCAATATTAAGAAACCGAGTAAATCCTGATAATTGCAGTAGGTTTAATCCCCAGTCTGCATATAAAATAACCGACTGGCCACAGGACTGCTTTGCACGCTCTGTACGCGATTTGTCATTTTTTTCAAGACGTTTTTTGTTGTTCTTGTTATCGTGTTTGTGCTCAGAGGTTAACCAAGAGGCACAAAAAAAGTTTGCTCTCAAAGGTCAGACTAACTTTGTATTTGACTATTTCCAGACAAACCAGCAGGAAGACACCCACCGAACGCTGTTTGCCTCTGCACTGACAGCCAACACAAACACACCGAAAATACATTTCCTCACAAACAGACAGCAAAGAAAAAAATCTATACTCGGCTTGTGCGAAGGGTTGGCCTGTCTAGTTTGAAGAGTTTGTGCAGAGTCAAAACTTACTGCTGTAGAGACAGACTTTTGGGAGACAGGTCTTCCTACTATGCAAAAGATCGTGTTAAGAGGCAAATCGCATTTACTTTTGTAAATAGTAATGGACATAGTAAATGCACAACCTTGCAAAGATGTCCCAATAAAGAAGCAGCCTGTGGGAGCAGGACAGATCACATAAAGGTAGTAATAAGAACCCACGCGGAGTGAATCATGGTTTAATTACCTTACTGTGTATCATTAGAGCAGATAGTTAAATAGGTTGCAGACAGTATTGGTTAGACTGAGTTATCATGAAATTGAGGGAGCTGGAGGCAGGGCAACTTACTATAGCCGGATGGCTTCAGGGAGATCAACATAGGTTAGATCAACACTAGTTTCACCAAAACTAAAATACACAATATGGAGAAGAAAAATTGGACCCCACTGCATAATCGTTGAATTCAAGTGTTTTCAGTGTCACAAAATCAAACACTTGCTCATGCAGTTTGTAATTTTTTGTTAAAGAAAGAGTCATTGTAAAGGGCTCACTGGATTTAAGCTAGCATTGCGACAAGTCAGTTTGTGAAATTTCTTCTCTCCTAGATATTCCATGATCAGCTTTAAGTGGTATTCATTACAGAATGGAAGTGTTTGGGAATCACAGCAACTCAGCCACAAAGCTTCAGACCACATAAAGTTACAGAGTGAAGTGCTGAGGCACCTCTGGCATTAATATCGGCACAAAAGCTATGCACTGGGAGCTTCATTGCATGGGTTTGCATGGCTGATCACCACGTGCAAGTTTGCCTGATGCATGTCACAATAAAAATCCCTTTTCTAAATTGCATAAAATGACAAATGTTTGTCTGATCACAAATTCATGGTAGCTGCCGCACTTTGAGAACATCAGGAAAATGATATATTTACATAACATTAAGTTCTTCTTGAGTAAAGACCATAATTATATTCCAACACATGTAACACCAGCAACTGTAAAAACTTGCCACTGTTAGCACGCTAGTTAGCACTAAGCTCGCTGTCTCTACTGACAAAGTATCCTCCTCTAACATGGCTGTTACATAGCCACGAGTGTGACCACTGTGAATGAAGGTGTAAAGCATTCCACACTTAAGACTGTGAGTTCTTCAACTTTCGATAAGTCACTTGTCACTTCCTGTGTTATATATATATATATTATATATATTTTGAGAGTTGACATAAGACGCAGCCTCACAAAACCATTAGTGTGGCTGTAGCTACTGACTTATCAGATCGTACCGTAAACTGCAAATTAAAGAGCAGATAAATAATAAGATTAAAAGAAGTGAATGTAATCTTTTTTTCAGCTAATACTCAGTGAACATCAGCTCTATACATAGTTTTTTAGTTTTTTTCCTTTTAACAACATATAGGGTTTGGTTTTAGATTTTATACTAATAAAAATCTCATAAAGGCTGCCAAGGCAAATTGCCCTACAAAGGTTTCTGTGGTTTTACGTCATATATTGTCATGTACATGACAACTGAGTTATGACAAAAATGCTATATGAGTAGTGCAGTTCTGATAGAGGGCTCCTCTGTGTCCAGAAGATGTAAGAAAACTAACTGCTTTTGTTCCCACCCTCCCTCCCTTTTAACAGTCAGACAGTAACATGATTACACGAGAAACTTGGGCACATGATCTGACCTTAAGTTCAGCTTCATCTCTAATTATGAAATTAAGTGGCGTATGGATTTTATTCTGCTGCCCAAATTGGAAAACCTCATTTGAGTCTCTGGCGAGAGTTTATCTATTTCTTTTTCCCCTACACTCACACACACAGTTGCCCATAGTAAATGCACAAAGAAACTCTGTATGAAATATTTGGGTTGCACATGGATCCAAACTGGATTGAGATCCAATGAGCCCATAGTGGAGCAACATTTTCCCCGCGTCTGCATTCATCATATCAAACATGTCATACATCAGTGGCAACAGAAGGCCCTTTCTTTTAAAGACTGCAGGATCCAGTCTAGTAGTTGCATAACATAGCCACTGCATTACAGACGCAAGACGCAAACCACCTTTAGCAGCCTCTAAACCCTCCTGAATGGGAACCCGTCTAACTACCTACACCTAGAAGGGGCCTATCTTGTGGGTTTGGGGGCATCTTACATTAACTTTAAGGGGTCACATAAGGAATATATGTTAAACAAACAGTTTCTAAACTTAAACAAACATGTATATATATATATATATATATA